TTTTTTTACCAAATCACGATTCACAGAGCACAAAAAAACCGGATCACGGCGTCACGAAAATACCCTTGCCCCCCCTCTAAAATGCCCTTGTCTCGAAAATATCCCAGCCATATAACACACATTATTTCTGAAACGAGGTCAGTGACCCCCATTTTTTCTTGCATTTCTGACAAAAGTAACTCATTACCGGACCGCAATAGAAGTTGAAAAAATCTGTTCATAACATGAGTTTTGCGCAAGCGTTCTTAAATGCCCCTGTATCACAAACTCTCAAAACACATAAACCACGTCATAACGTTATACGTGCACACGATTAAACGTGGAGAAATATATAGGAACATCCAACTACCACAATTAAATATCAAGTGATCATCATCCAGATATAAAATAAAAAAACAAAAAATAAAAAAAAACAAAAACAAAATACAATTCAGGGAGATTTAGCCGGTTGTGCTCATCTTGGACACTGTAAATCAAAAATCAACAAACAAATACTGAGTGCAAACAGAACATAAACTTAGTAAAAATTCCAAATGAAGAAATTTAATTACTTGGTTAATTATACAGTGCAGCTGTGGAGTTCAACACAGAGCAAAACAATAGTGCAAACATAGAGGATTTGACAGAAGAAACCCAGATTTCATATCCTGTACCCTAGACCACTCAGCTGTGTCACCTTCCTGCTCAGAAGAACCCTAAATTTTATATCGTTTGTTTCCAGTTATTTTCCAGACTCAAAGTTATGAGCCCTTTCCTGAAATTTGACTGCATGGTGAGAATTTGGAAAGAACCACCGACGTTTCTCCATTTTTTTCCCCACAGTTTATCTTTTCCATACTTTTTCCGGGTCTGGAAAGCTGTTGTAGCTTCAAAAACTAGCACAAAAATCCCAAACTCTGTAAGACCTCTGTTTTTATCTAGATGTTATGCATTATATTAAAAGCGTGAGACTGTTTTACCACATTTCCAAAGAGCGAGAAGAGGGTTGAAAATACGTTGACGAACTTCAAAGTGTTTGGAAATGTGGTGAAAGACTGGTCGAGTGTTTTATAAATCTTCTCAATCGAAAATAAAACTAAGGAGGAAGAACTAACAGAGGTTTAAAATAAAAAAAAATCCGTGCTAATTAAGATCAGACATCCACCCCGCAAGGGTAATGATTTCCTTTGTTTAAACCTGATGTATTACTACTGAGTTTGAGAAGTGTAGTTTGTGTGCAGTTCTTGTATTACTGACCAGTGCTCAATAAATAGTTGGAGCAAATCCTCAAGAAAGCTTACCATGAGTTCAAAAAAGAACCAAGCATGTGCCATTGCTGTTTCCTTCAAGGGTCCACTTGCAACTGCCCACTGTAATGCTAACTCTTCATGCACCAACTATAAAAAGAAACAAATACGTAAATAGGGACACTGAGGCCCGGTTCATACGTCGCATTTCTGCCGTGTCGAATTCAATTCAACGAATTAAATTCGACAGAAATTCGACGTCTGAATCGGCTGCCGCATTTC